CCATTTACACTAAGGTGCAGCTTTACAAGAAGACTTAAAGCAGAGATGGCCACTTGTGTCCTCTCCAGAGCCAGCTCTACCAGGGGAGCAGGGCATGCCTGAAGGCTGTGTTGAGAGGGACTCCCAAGACTGGTCGGGCTGTATGAAAAAAAAGTGACATCTGCTGATAGCACTGGCTGGTCCCACATTTGCGCTCCCTATCTTGAAGCATCATCACTTCCAGAGATGTCTGTAAGTGAAGTCAAAGTCTTAAGCAAAAGGATGTGTCTCTGGTGGTTGAGCTTAGACGTCTCACAGGTGGAGAGAGACAGTGCCACATCGCTACATCTTGGTGGCCACCACCGCCAACTATGGACAGCCTTCTCCCCCACCCCACTTCCAGCCAGTCACATAAAGAAAGACCCCAAATCCCAAACTGCAATTTTATTATTTTTTAATAAACTTTATTCTATATTACAAATAAGTTTTTTTTTGTTCTGAACTGCAAAATAGGAATGCCTTATATTTACATACACAGGTATACAATTAATTATAACAAAGGTACAGAAGCTTGCCTTTACCAAGTTACAACTGGGCTCCAATTTAAATAGCATCGGTTTCCTTTTTAAAAACTTTTTTTAAAATCCTTTTTTTTCCCCTTTAAATCTTCCTAGGATACTCTTCTTTAAAAATCAAAACCAGAAGACCCTCTTCCTCTAATAGACTTTACCCACCTATCTTTGAGGCTCGGTATAACACTGTTGTCTAAAGATATGTTTTGCTTTGTTCTAACAAAGGGTCAGTGTTCAAGGTGGGAGCTTTATGGAAACAGAAGGGGAGTGGGGCTGAAGCAAGAGTGACCTGCCCTACCTCCTTCAGTGGCCTTTCTCTGAAACTCGAAGGCCCCTGCTTGTTCTGTAAACCACCCATCTATCCTTTCCTGTTCCTCCTCTTCCCTCTAGTATTGGAGACTTACGTAACTCTGGGTCACCTGACCAGGCCAGACTCCTCTCCCGCCAGGCCTCAGCTCACTGAGCCATTGTTTGTTGTGGTACCCTGGAGTTGCTGGTTGCTATGGTAACTTGGCAGGACCCTGCTGGAAGAGATAGACTGGTCCCTCCAAGCTAAAGTGAAGAGGAGATGGCTGGTCTCTACAAGGGAGGAGGGCAGCTGCATCCAATCCTTCCTTCCCGTCTCACGGCCTGGGTTCTCGTTAATGGTCAGATCAGCCAACACATGACTAAGCCAGGACCTCAGGCCCCCAGGCCCAGGCAGGGAGTGATGGAGGGGAGGGCCGCCCACTCTAAAACACAAAGTCATTGGCTTCCAAATGGAAACAAGATTCTCTGAGGTAAACTAGCTTTTCTTTTCAAAGAACAGAAGGTTTGATGAGCCAACAAGCTGACGGGAACATCAGGGAAGGGAGGAGGAACACACGAGGACACGTACCCCATCTTGGTCATGTGCCGGAATTGCACTCACTGGTCCTGTTTGGTGAAGTGGTCTCGGTTTCCTAGTGTCCGTTGCATTGCTCTTTAACTGTACCCTCTGTTTTGAATTCTACCCTGTAAGGGAGCCCTTCCAAAATGTGCTTGAGTTGTAAGATCAAAGAGACTAACAACAGAAGCTCTAATTATAGATCAAGAAACCCACGGAAGATGAGCTATGTGGACCTATCTCTTTGCAAGAGCGTTTGTATTCTCTGGGGAGGGATCTCAGGTCCTTTCATGACAATCCCTAACAGGGTCTCCTTGCACTTTGGGGGAAGCTAATGAGAACTGGGTATAAATTCAGCAACATCAGGGGCGGCCCGGGGCCAAGGCTGGACGAAGTGAAAGGGGGTGGCATGGTGGGAATGTGGGGCTCACCAACCCAGGACACCCGACCCCTGGCCCACCTCACTATCTCCGCCAATACAAACAGGAAATTCTCTTCATTTATTCGGGGTTTCGTTTTGTTTAGCTTTGCTTTGGGGTAGTCATGAGTCTACTCCAGGAATTTAATTGGGACTCTAATAAAGTATGTATTACTTTTACAACCAAAAAAGTCCTATGTATTATATAATCTTGGATACTCTCCCTAGTAAAAAAAATTTTTTTTACTGGGGAGCAAAGGTTTCTAGTTAAAAAAAAAACAAACCAGGAAAAAAAAAANCTAGTCCTCTCCCCAGTGGGCCAATTGTGACTCCACTGCACTCACTCCTATGTGGAAAGCCTATGACTGCAAGTCAGCGAGACTAATGGTGCCATGGGGACAACCTTGAAGCTCTTCCAATATAAAACGAGAGGAAAGCACCACCCAACATGAACATTTGACTGCTATTGGTAATGAAATAGAAATTACAACTGATCATGACACAACGGTTTGTGGTGACAACGCTGTGGCACTGTTGAGTTCTGCTCTGTAAGATGAGTGTAGCAGTTGATTGCTTACTGGGGAACCAACAGATTCTCCTCCCACAAGCAAAAGCCCTAATAGTTGAAGGGACGTAGCGAAAACTGGGAGCCTGCAGTGGGCCACCAACCGCTAGCGGTATTTGGAGGCAGGAATGGGATGGAGGGATGGGTGGGAGAGTAGATCAGCAGTCAAGTGACAGGAAGGGTAGGTGAAGAGCTTCTAGAAGATACAAACCAGCAGAGGTGCAACAGAATCGTGTAGGCTGCTCAACCAATATCGGTAAGAGGCCCCCTGAATCCGTATGCTTTCCAACCCCTTTTATAGAGAGGACCAGCCAGGGTAATCCCTGTTCTTAGCTGTGGTGGGAGTGGGGGGACCCCCCAGATGTGTGCAGGGCGCACTCTACCACAGTGAGTCGCTGAGCCTGAGCCCTGTGCAGGCTGATGTGTGCTCACAGCAGCTGGGCAGCGAATTCAGAGGTGGGCAAGCCCTGGCCACCGAGGTGGGCATTCTAACATCATTCTTCTGACCTACAGGCTGCCAGGGCCCTGAGGTGGCAGAGCAGACTTGCTGTAGATCCTGAGTGAGTTCTACATCTCCGGGCTCCTTTTCCCCTTCACGGAACCAGACAAGCTCAGAGGCCAGTCTTCTGGGGAGTGAGTGACATTGATCCATTCATCACCAAGTAAGAAGCCCTCTGGGCTTGCTCTCCAGACCTGTCCATGCGGTTTCCCTATCCCTCCGTCTTTGTACCCTCATCCCAGAGTGAGAGGAGAAGGGATTTGGGACCTCAAGCAAGAGAAAGATGACTTTCCTGAGAGTACCATTGGTTGCTAAGAAACTGGTGGGATAAGAAATGGAAACCATCAAACCGCTCCTAAAAATAACCAAATGGACTGCGGTTACTCGTGACCTATAGCAGCTGCATGGCACCAATCTCATTTAGTACCAAGTTAAAGGGAGCCCATTAGCCGGGTGCATGCATTATTCTGATCTCCGACTGACCGGCCATGTTCCGGGGGGTGTCCTCTATGCAGATGCTTCATAAATGTTCCCAGCCCTTCACATCCCTGCTCCCTTCTGCCCTGCCTGAGGTCCTATCACAGGGATATTGCATCCACGTGGGGATAACCAAGAGCCCAGCTGCTGCCTCTTTGTCTCTTTGCCTAAGAGCCGACTGACCACAGAGGAGGGCCTGCTCCTCACAGCTCTACTGTCAGAAAAAGAAGCCACTGTTTATATGGGAGGGGGGGAAGGGTAACGGTCCCTCTTGGTGACTCAGACACAATCAGATGCAAGGACAAAAAAGTTAGCTCACTCTCTCTGACAGCCACGGCTGCGTGCCCATCACATGCATTAGCAGGAAGGGGCGGGGAGGTTATCAAAGAACAGAGTGGAGAGGGAAAAGAAAAGTCATCCCTTTTAGGAGAACCGTGTTACTGAGGGCGCCAGGGCCACACCCCTTCTTAGTTATTCCCTCTGCACAAGAGAATGCAATTTCCAAGAATAAAGATGGAGACTGTCTCTTTGCCATGAACGAAACAATACTGTTCATGTTGTCTTCAGGTGCCAAGTCAGGAACAATTTCTGGTCTCTTTTACTCTTCAAAACATCACCAAATCTGAGCTTCCACCCAGGTTTCCTATTTCTAAGTTACTTGGGAAAAAAGAGAAAGGAACTCTAGAACCAGGACTGCCATGCAGAGTTGTGCAGGTTGTTCACTGCACAATGGTGCTTGTGAGAGGGTGAGCTGGGGCTGACAACCAGCCCCTCCACAAACCATGCATCCTGGCTGGGGCCACATTCTCTGGTAGAAAGGGGCACCTTCCCTACTTCAGAGACACCATATGGGTTGACAGAGGCCCTAAAAGTATCGTAAATAGTTGAAAAGCAATTTGGGAGTCAGCTGAGTTTGAGGGATCTACTATCTTGGCCACTTAAAGTCATCTCGGGTTGATTACTTAAGCCATTCTATGTGTATATTTCTTCACAGAGTGAGGTTCTAAATCCTGTCCTCTTATATTCCAGGGCTCCCTTCGTGAATAAATAAATAAAGCATCGTCAGGTTGTTTAGCTCAGGTGCCTGGCATATGGAGCTGCTGCGACCCAGACAAACCACAAATGTTCTTGACCAGAAGTTAGCTTCGCACCAAGACAGCCCAGTGCCACAGCGTACAGGTGGCCCTCTAGTCTGAGGTGCACTTCAGGACACTGTGATTAGATCAGGGGCATTGTGGGTGAGAATGCACTGCAAGGCCCAGGGCATCAACAGCTCACCGTGTGAGAGTCAAGAGACTGTGGCGGTGAGAAGCTGTTCAGAGTGACAATGACATCCCCACAGGAGGCTGGGCGAACTGCCAGATTGTATTTCCTTCCTGAGCCTAGAAAGAATTTCAGCTACCGAGATCTCGGCCGCCCATGGAGGGGCACAGAGCCCAGGGGCAACTTCTAGCCAAGTTCCCCACTTCTTGCTTCGGCTGACAATACAGGGCTCCAGGAAGTGTGGGTCTTGGATTAGGCATTGCAAGCCCCAGCCCATCTTGGGGGGTGGGAGGGACCCCTAGTCAAGGGAAATTGCCGGCGGCTGCAAGGGGCCTGCCTTGACGCCCAGACCCAGCACTCACCGTTCCACCCAGTTCTTGTAGCTGGGAATGTCCTTGGCATAGAGCAGCTTGTTGGACGGGGAGTCCTTGCCCAGCCGGTGCTCCGACGTGGAGCAGGAGTCCATGAAGGTCTGGGCCACCACGGAGAGGCAGGCGTCCGTGATGCTGTTCTTATGGATGTCAAACACGAACTGGGGGTTCTTGATCATGTTGACCCAAAACCTCAGTGGCAGGCTGTGACGAGGAAAGAGGCAGAGGGTCAGGGGAGATGGGGTTGGGGGGAGACTGTAGCTTGGCTCAGAGAGACCTCAGGAGAAAGAGACAAGGCTGGGGACCAACTCAGGGCTTCCTCTATGCCACCAATTTACTTCCAGGAAAATATGGCTCAACAAGGCTGACCAGTCTGTCCAGAGATACAACGCAGATGGGCACTGGCGGCTCCCAGTCTTCTTTGGGGTCAGAGGCAGCCATGATGGGTGCCGTAAAGTGGCATTTCCGACTGTCAACTCCATTATTTGCCCTCTGGGCCAGATACAAGGCACATCCAATTGGCCAAACTTTAAAGAAAGGCCTGGAATCCAGACTTTGTATCTCACTTTCTGCCATCCACTGGAGGACTTAGGAGAAGTCAACGCCTTCCTTCCTGCCTGGTAACATCAGCTTATTCCTACATGGCGAAGACAGTGGGACTAGCTGATTCCTCATCTCCAAGCTGACACGCTGAGAAACCCACCTTCACAGCCCTCCCCTGCCCCACGGTGATCCCCCCTTCCCCTCCCTCTGTCATCCAGTTGGCACCTATGGCATGCCAGGAGCTGTGCCAGCCACTGGGGAACAGTGTGACTGAGACACACCCCTGCCCCCAAGAAGCCTGCATTCTGGGGGGTTCATGGGGAAGCCAGACATGCAATCAAGGATGTGCTCTGAGAATGATCAGTGCCAACACAGAAGGACATTCGGGACCCAATGTGGGGCACAGGGAGGTGTCATCAAGTCTATCCAGATGAAAGTGTCCAGGAGGTCTTCACAGAGGGGGAGGTATTTGATAGTCTGAGTTTGAAAGAGGCACGGGTGTCTCTGAACTGGATGAAGACCGGAGGGAGGTGCTAATGGTAGGGGACTCAGCTAAACAAAGATAAAGAGAACGTCCACTCTGGTTGTGTATGTGTAAGTCGCTTAGTTGCTACAAAGGGTCCTGGGGCACGAGGAGAAACCTGCCCACCTGCCCTCTGCGCTGTCCTCTGCTGGCTCTCTCCATCCAGCCTGTTGAGATGCAGGTGAGGAAGCAGCATGGTATCAAGCGAGGAATGGCTAATTCCCTCTCTCGGCCCCCACCGCCTCACTTCCTGCCACTTCTCCTGATGTTTTATTGTTATTTTGGTTGCTGTTCTCACTGTTGATAATAGTTCATAATGTTCGTATGTGTTTGGCTCGCCTCTTAGAACTTAAACTCTTGGAATTACATTATTTCAAACAGCGAGAACAATATTTCTGTATGTGTTGTATCTCCCAGCAGTCAGTACGTACCTACAACAGTGCTATAAATACAGTCGGACCTCATATTCGAGAATGCCAATCAATCAACAAGTACATATTAAGTTCCTACAAAGTGGGCAGTGCAGGACCGGGGCAGGCAGCGGTGAGGTCTGACAGTGGTAAGTGGTGCTTGTGTCACCCTGGGAAATCCAGGTAGGAAATAAAGGGATGTCATGGAGCATGATGACACAGGAGTGAAAGTCGGGGATGTGGCATCGGCCCCAGGGAGACCGACAGCTGGGCTCAGAGCTCTGGATGAAGGACTCCTGGCGGCCCAGCTAGTACAGTCCCCTGTCCACATCTTCCTGTTTGCAGAAGTCCTACCCGCAGGAGGGACCCTAGGAGTCCCTATGAGCTGCGTGGTTGTTCCTCTCCTACGCGCCCTTTCCTTAAGCCAGTGGTGCTGACAGGCAAATCAAACAGGGGAGCCAGGGTACCACACCAAGTCTCCTGCCTAATGAAATATTAGTACGTTATTAACATTATTGGTGGCACGAATCTCTGGTTGATTGCAGTCACTCAGGCTAGGGAAATGCAGAGGAAGCTGGTGGGGAGAGGGTGGGTTACAACTCTGGCCAGGAACAAAGACACACCCTCTTTGCAATCAGGGACAAGGAACTTGAAGTCAGTATGCAAACCTCCTAATTCCTGGACTAACTGCTTCTTGCCCAGGTAGCAATGGTGAAGGTCAGGGGAGTGCCCTTCGGTGAAGGTCCCTGAGCCGGGCACAGCTGTCTGCTGACCAGCTTTCCTTCCTGGGGACTGGAGTTCTTTGTGAACTGAGCTTCTGAGTTCCAAGGGGAGCATGTGCCCTCAGCCCCAGGACTTTATGGCACCCTTCGAGGTGGCCTCACCCCAGCAGGAGGTAGGGGCTGGAAGCACATGGCTTAGAAAGTATTCCAGGTGACCTACCTTGAATGCACTACAAGGGCACTAGGGATGTTTTAGAAATACCAGCTCTCCCCAATAGGGACCATCAGAGGAGTTCCGGGCAGAGCATGTCTTGTATTCTGAAGACTGCTGCCATTCAAATGGGGTGGTAAGGAGGAAGACTCGCTGGCAGAGAGAAGCAAATTTGGTAGGCTGGGGACATGCCTCTTGGAATGACTGTGCCTAAGATGACTACAAACAATCTTACCCAGAGGCAGGCACTGGGAGAGAACAAACCTGGCAGGCCTCTCAGAGGAGGGGACAGCCTTCCCCCAGTGTGGCTGCCCTGCACGAGCAATCTAGACTCCACGAGTCTTATTTCAGAAAGGCTGGGAGATCCTTGATGGAAGATCTTCTCTCCCCAAGAACTAATGTGGGAGTAAACCCCGCTCTGCTGTTCTAGGGTCCAAAGCTCTGTTCCTGCCTGATTTTTCATTTTCAATAGAGACAGCACTGTCTCTCAAGTGGAGACCAAAAGCCAGAACATGCTCCATTAAATAAAATTTTAGTACCACAGGCTGACACCTGCCTTCCTCTGTGTCTTGGGTTTGGGGTTCTGGGCTGGTTGTCAGGGTGCCTGGCTGGGCCCTAGCACCACGCCACTCCTCTCAGTGGGCAGCTGCTGGCCAACAGGCTTGGGCTGCCTGGGAAGAATGTTCGGAGGAAGGACAACCTGGAACAGGAACAACCTAAAAGCTACAGGTAGGCAATTCTGGAACCAATGGGGCAATTCAAGCCAGCTGGGCCTGAGGTAGAACCCTCCCGTAGAGGCCATCTTGGCCATGCACCTGCATTAATATTTATCGAGTCTCAGCTTTGCGCAAGGTTCTATTCCAAGTGCTGAATACTGATGTCTGACCTTGCAGCCTCAACCTGAAGCACAAATGACTCACAGACCAACGGAAAGGATGATGTAAGGTAAAGGAGAGAGGGGCCATCGTGAAGACACCTATCGTGCCAATTAGGACTTAGAGAATCCTGTTGTCACAAAGCCAGACAAAGTGGTTCTGGGACTGTCTCTTCCGCAAAGGGAGTTTGGAAAAGGAGTTAGATTAATGGGAAGGGAGACCATCGCTTCTTGACCAGAACAGAAATATCCCCTGTTCACCTAGGTGGCTGCAGGGTGCGCTTCAAAATGCTGCTGAACGGTCACTGTTAGACGCCACCCTTCTAAAATCTAGTTGCAAAAACGCTTCTTGTCTCTCACCTGCATCTGTCAGCCGACTGAAGGCAGGGGCTGTGCCTGACAGTCTCTGTCCCTTCAGTGTGCAGCACAATGTCAGGCACGCGGGAGGTCCCTGGATGTGAGTGACCTGGCCGCGACGCAGGCTATTATTTTTATGGTCATTACTTGGCTACATAAATGTTTGTTAACTGGTTGATTGCTAGGAGAGAAGGATGATTTGACTAGTTGGAAGTGAGAGAGGAAACAAACACAAAAATAGGAGACAGTGGGGAGGTCCAGAGAGAGAGCCTGCGATGAAGGTGGACCACGCTCTGCCCTTCCTCTCACGGCCGCCCAAGGCCCGCCACCATGGACTTGGGCTGGCCTCCCCTGACGCGGGGCGTCCTCGGCTCTCCACTCACCAGTTGCTCTTCCAGGTGTGGCGGACATGCGGGTCGTGGATACCGTGCTTATCAGCCTGCTCATCCAGGAAATCAAACATGTACTTGATGGCCAGAGGCAGGGCAGAGCCGCGGTGTGCTGTGCTGAAGATGGTCTCGAACAGGTCGTCCACGAACTTCTGCAGCGTGCCCTGGGGAGGGGGCGGTACGCGGTCACACACAGCTCTGCACAGGAGGCTGTGGGAGGGTGTCAGGGTCTGCCTCGCAGACTGGGGGAGGGGAACACAGCATACATCTGGCCAGCATGGGTGACATGGGGTACGTGCATGTATTAAATCTCCCTACCCCCTACATCCTGTCTCTAACAGCTTTACATGTCCTCTGTGCATGGGAAATAGATACACCACTGATGACGGGGCCTAAGTAAGCCTTCCTCTGCCAACAACACGGTTTGGTTGAACACCCTTTGGCGGTGGTATTTTAGCACTTTTCACAAATGCTAATGATCAGCTCCCTGGGTCAGAGCAGACAAACACAATGCCCTGGTTTTGTTTGGGCATTCTTCGCTCTGGCTAATGAACGCTCAGTCACCCATTTGGCTCCCAGGAGTAAAAGCCTAACTGTAGGCACAGGCTGTCCCGAGAATCGGGAGGAGAAACAGTGCCTGGGAAGTCACTGATGGAGCCCCCATTTCCATGGCTTGAGACTGTCTAGGATACCCCAGAGAAGAAGGAGCCGTTCTTTCGCAAGGATGGTAGAAGAACATGAATAGATGCGGCTAGAGTCTCTATATTTGAGAAAAAGCATAGAGAAGGGATGGAAACAAAACTTCAGGTCGTATGCCCACACTGATGTATGGGAGGGGTTGGCCGGAGCTCTGGGTTCAGAAGGGTTCTGAGGTTCTGCCCTGGGAAAGAGTGCCGGGCTGATGAGCAGCGCCGGTCCAGAGTGGATCACAGAGGGGCACTAGCACAAACGATAGGTGTTTGCTAGCTCAGGTATCTCCGTGGGGTGGTGAGGTCCCTCCCTGTACCCCACATGTGCCCCACCCCTCCTTCTGAAGTCCCATACCTTCGTGGCCAGGAGTCGTGTCAGATAGATTTCAGACACCATCTTGCTCCCCCGGTCCCCCTCCTTCTGGTCGCCGTGCTCGTGGTTCTTCACCAGGTGCCACATCTTCACTCCACTCTCCAGGTCGGGTGTGATCATGGGCGTGCGAGAGCGGAGGCTGTCGGGACTGCCCGTGTAGCGGATCATGTTTTCTGCCAATGCAAGGGGCCCACACATGTGAGGCCACTCGGCCTCCCGGCTGCTGACTCACAGCACACCAGCCCAGGCCTCCTGCTGTCTGATCCATCCCGCCATTGTCTGCCACCGTCGCCTTGCCTCAGTTTAGCTCATTCCCTGAAACGGGGGTGCCTTTCCTGCCACCTCCGGGAAACCCTGGGACTACTTTACCCACTCCGGTTCCCCTCCCTCCTGTCCTGTCCTTGCATCTTGCCAGCCCTTAATTATTCACTATGTAAAAATATAAGCGTGTCCTTTCTTACACGTTTCCTTGTAAGAGTTCTCAAGTCATGTCTCAGGATGTGTTCTGTGTAGCCAATTAAGTACGAGTGTAGGAGCAGGTAGCCTGTCTCCCCTAATGACTGCGGACCAGCTGAGTAATTGCCTTGTCACCTGCTCATCTGCACCCTCCCCTCGGGCCTGGGCCAGTTCTTCCCCCTTATTTGCTGAAATGTGAGGTCAGGTGCCGTGAGTGTTGAGCAGAAAAGAAGATGAAGGTCCTACTGGGTGTGGACACCGTTCTTTGTTTCCTTCTATTTATTTTCCAGAATGATCCCAGGGACTTTGGTAGTTTTTGCAGTCCCTGGTTTGCTGGTAAGAAAACCAGGTCTCGTGGCAGTCAGGCACCTGGCCCCAAGGCACCCAGATGGTGGCTGAACAGGGTGGCACCCGGGCTTCCAGCCACAGCCAGCGCCCTTCCCCCACACCACAGAACTAGCGTCTGCACCTTCCCTCCAACGCTGCACAACAGTGTGACCTTTACACGTCGCATAGTCTCTGTGCGTCTGAGTTATAATTTGCTAATCTGCATAATAGGGGGAAATAATAATTATTGAATTCGCTGGATTGTTATGAACACGACGCGCGATAATGGGTATCACAAAGTGAAAGCATCTTCTAGCCTGTAAGATGCTCACGGAGATTTAGATGTCCGTCCCATTCCAGGGGGATCTAGGTTCTGCTCTTGCCTCAGAGTTCCCACCTGGAACCAGGCGCCTCCTCCCCAGGCCAGCTCTCCCCTCCGATGGTCAAGCCTGCCGGACTCACACCCCACTCCCCGCCCCAGGGGTTCCAGGCCTTCCGGTGGTCCTGCCATCATGACAGCAGCTGCTCAGGGCACCCTCTCCTCCCCAGGATGACCCCATGAACTCACCATATTTACTTGCCGAGGTTCTGGAGACCGTGGAGTTGTTCACTGCATTGTAGGCTGTTACCTGCTTGGACACTAAAGCCACCACAGAACCATCTGGCACCTACAAGGAAAAGGCTCATAAGGGCCTGGCCACAGAAACTCTGCCACCCCAGGAAACAAGGACAACCCCCAGTTAAGTTGGTCCTCCGGGGCTGTCAGTGCTTCCCTTTGAACTGTTTGAATACCGAATAGTATTCTGTGTTGTGGCTTGCTCTTAAAGAGACTGGCAAGAGCTTCCCGCTAGCACCCTCTTTTCCGATGCTTCCCCAGAGAGCACCCGGCCTTCAACTCCGGGGATCTTCCAAGGAAGGGCCTTCCAAGGAAGGGCCCAGACACCTACAACACACAGGTTCGCAGATGGATCTTACATGGGGAAGTCAGAGACTGTTTCTCTTGGGGACTCATGGAGGCATGGCCGTCGGCATCCTATCTCCAAGGAGGTCAAGGTTTCCCGGCTAGGGGACATCAATTTTCCCGGGGTTGCTAAGGGAACGTGAGGTGCTGGTGAAGGAGTAGATCTAGGGCTTGGTGTCTAGCGTTGGTGTGTGGGTGGGGGGACGGGCGACACCCTGTTATTCAAGTGCTGAGACTTCCGGGGAACGGGCTGCCCAGTGAGCGAGCCCTCTCTGCCCTCCACAGTCCCCTCACCTGGTAATGGGCCAGGGTGTTCAGCCTCTTCCAGTCATTCTCAATCTTGGTGGTGATGTCTTCATCCTGCAGTATCGTCCTCGCCCCGCTTCCTTGTCGCCACTCTGTGGGAAGAGCGATGGCAGCTCAGAGAGGCCATCAGGCCCCACCTGTGGGGGTCCTGAAGACCTCTGTGTGGGCACCTACACCATGCCACCTTCAAGGGGCATCCACAGACGAGTGCCAGCAGACACTCCCTGAGAAGGGGGCGCAGAAGCTCTCAGTGCCGAGGGGCCCCGAGTCCCAGTTCTGGTTCTCATCCCAACAAACTGTGTGACAGAAATGGGGATAGCATCACCTGTCCTCCCCTGTCCACCTGTTCTCTGTGAGTGGCCATATCTGCAAGAAGTAAATGCTTCGTAAATATTGGCTGAAGGCACAAGGCAGGTGGAAGCAAGAAAGGAAGTGCTAAGCAAATGCAAGATGGCACCTAAAGATGTTTGCTTGATTGTTAAGATCTTGGAGCGAATGAGACTGAGGCTGCTAGGTCCCATCACTGTGCACCCTGCTCCTGTTTTAGGGATGTGTCCTGTACCCGAAAGCCAGCAGGGGAGTCACCCTTGGCAGGGATACTAGGTGAACATGTGTGGGGAGATCAGTAAGACCTATTCTCATGCCAGGAACAGCCCCATCCTGCATAGCTGATGTGGATAACAGCATCTTAGGGGGTCTGCCCAACACCTAATTAGTTGATGCTGTAGGTATATACTTGAACCCCACGTTCTCCTCATGGGCCCAGACACCTATAACACACAGGCTTGCTGATGGATTCCACATGGGCAAAGAGGAGACTGTTTCTCATCAACCAAATCCCCAGCAGCACACATGGCACAAATTGCTTGGAGGTGGAGAAATGTACATTCCAGTCTTGAAAAGCACACGCGTGGCAACCCAGGTGCATGCCAGATACACCAGCTCTTGCACATGTGCACACACCCACCCGCACATGCACCCACCGAAAGGAAAACAGCCTTTTAACACGTTGTGGACCCGTGATGCAGATTTGCTTCTATACATTTAAATTCCCCGTCCTCAATGTGTTAAACTCAAATGCAACATGTGTTCCAGCCAGGAAGCCAGGAATCTGGTTTCCAGGCAGCCACCACGGCCTTCTATGCCTCACAGATGCTGATATTTGTGTAACGTGCAGGGCGCTAGGATTTGCAGGGCTCTTAGGGGCTGGAGCGAGTTACCAGCAGTCTTGTCTGACCTCGCCACGGATTTTTCCAATGGCCACAGAGGCGCATTTCAGATTCTCTCCCTTCATTCCCCTCTGGTCAAGGCTGAACTGTGGGTCTACAACCAGCCACGTTGGTGGCACAGAGAACACCAATTACTCCCCACCTTGTGCACTTGGCATGGCCAGTGCTACAGATGGGAAGCAGGTTCAGAGAGCGAGCCGCCTGCCCTCAGAAGGAGCAGAAATAGGCCCAACATCCAAGCTCCTGCCTCCAGTTCCCAGGCTCATCTGCTGCCTGGGTTAGAGCGTCCTGTAGCATCCAGCCATTGCAGGGATGAGAACGTAAGGATGCCAGGCATGGTCACTGGAGCGGAGGAGCCTCAATAGGCCTCCGGGGAGCTCCCATCACTTAGTGCTGTTGATGACACAGCTGGAACTGATCATGGCAGTTAGGGCCTCGGGGCAGGTAAGGGAGTGAGCCAAGGGGGACATGTCTCCCACCAGCATCTGGTCTCTAGTGTTTTGTTTGTTGTTTGTTGTGGGTTTTAAACTTTTATGTAGATGTGCAGGGATCTATGATGTATGTATTTCTGAGTCGCTGGGACGAAAGAAGAGGGATATCTCCCAGCTGGTCGGGCAGCTGATATGCAGTTCCTTAGGACTGGGGTGAAGACTAGCATGGGCCGAGGAATACGGCAGTGGCATGCTTTGTCCTAGTCACACAGTGGGTCCTACAAGACAAGGACTCTTGGGTCTTCCCTGCTTGCCTGGTGAATGGTGCCAGGACCGTTAAGTCAAAGCCTCCATGGGGTTGGGAGGAAGTCAGTACCCAGACGGCTCTGGGGCACAATGGGCAGTCAGTATTCTGCACTCCCTCCATGGGGGCTGGAGGAGAGGCAGGGGATGAGCTCTGGTCACTGAGACCACTGGCTGGGCCCACCGGAGAAGACAGTCTCCGCCACTAAAGTGGCTATGGGCTTGCCAAGGCGAGATAGGGAAGATACCAGCCACGGACCAGCTGCCCGGGCACCCCTTGCTGGTGGGCTTGTAGCACATCTCCGTCAGACCTGAACACACCACACAGCTTGATAGACTTAGCAATGACAGCTGGGGACTTTTTTCTGGAGTCTGATGCAGGACTTCCCTTGTTGCATAACTACCCTGAGTTGTGCAGTGCGCAGCCTGTGCAGTTATACTCAGCAGACTGGCTCTAGGTCATGTCCAGTCATTATGTAAGCAAACGAAAGTCCTTCTGCCTCTATGCCCCTGACTGAAAAAAGCAGGGCAGAGTATGGTCGTGGTTCCCCCCAGGCAGTCAAGGAATGATGGCTTGTCCTTGGAATACAAAAACGCTGCGGCTAGAGGCCTACCAGCAGGGCTAGCCCAGCACCTGGAACCAAATAAGAGCTGGATGTGCATTTATTAAAGGAATAATGAGTAAGTGCATGGATGAATGAATGAATGAATGCATGCATGAAGGGGAACGGTGAGTAAGCGAGTGTGTGATGGCGGCCCGTTTTCCAGCAGGCCAAGAGGACATTTGACCTGTGTTGGTGCTCCACAGTAGGCAGTGAGCTACAGTTAGAAGTGAACTGTGAGCTGCTCTGTTAGCAACCTGGCACAAAGGATGATCTGATCAAAAATACAACGAGGCATTGCCAGAAATGAAAGCGCTCTTAAATTATTGTCACTCATTCTTCTCATTTTACAACCAGAAAAATTAAAGAAATGGGTTGGGAAGACAGACCGAGAGGTCATCATCCCCAACCATGGCTCAGGTGAGTTCTCTTCCACGGGCACCACCTGGGCTCCTCCTCTGGGTGGGGCACGGGACCAGGGCATCCGGATACAAAGATAGATAACCCAAGCCACCGTGCTCCAGGTGTTCTTGGCAAGGAAGGCAGATGTGGACACAGCTCAGGGCACAGCAGCATGGCACCCGCCTCATCTGTGGTCAACCAGAGTGATGGCGGGACTGGAACCCAGAGCTGTGGCTACACTGTGATGCTGGCATGTGGGTACTGCCACTCAGCGCCACACCTGGAGCTCTAGAAATTCAAGTGTGTCACTGGTAGTTTCGCTTGGGCCACAGCACTTTCCACAAAAACAAGCTGTGCTTGGGCCGGCCGAGTGGCGCGATGGTTAAGAACTGGCTTGGGACGCCAGAGG